GTTGCCCTTGAGCATCATCCCTGACGCCGGCCCATCACAGGTGGACTAATATCTAGCATAGCGTATACTGTATATAAGGCTCAGATCAAGCGCAACGGCTTCTTAACCTGGCAGGGGAAATACCATGTATCTATATCCAAGAAAGTAGTTTTCCTGAATTGCTTTGCAGGAGAACTGCTTTCTGGGTGTGGTTCAGTACCCATTGAGGTGCAGTGGCTTTCAGCCCAGTTTATGGAAATGGGAGCCTCCTCCCTTGCTTGCTCCAAGAGCCTTATGGCTAAGGGCAAGCAAAATTCAGGAGCATCTGAATCCCAAGCCCCAGGGCTTGGGCCTGCAAGCAGGATGCCCACCAAAGGTTTTGGAAACATCTGAAGCCCCAGGTGTGAATGGAGGACGTTTGCCAGTAGTAGGGCCACTTGTGGTTCTGGACTGTTGGATTTGGAATTAGCTTTGACTAATTTGGCCTCGGATACAAATTAAAAAAAAAAAGTATATAAGTAGGTAAAAAAAAAAATGTTGCTTAAAAGTGTGTTTATGGAGTAGCTGTGTTAAAACTTGCAGCAGTTTAAAAAAAAAGGTAAAATGCATCAGAACTAAGTCTGTGGATAACTAGTAATTGCGTATATGCAAATTACTACAGGTATGTTTATGTCAAGGTCAGTGTTTTCAAATTTGCCCCTCACTTCCATGTGCTCAGTAACAGCAGAGTCTGACGGTAAAGAGAGGGGGAAGGGGTTGCAGTGGGGTGGGGTAGCAGACAAGGGGGAGTGAATACAGTACGTGATCTATGACAGATGAAGAAAAAGGGCTACCCATTCTGCCTTAGCTGGTTTCAGTAGCTAAGTGTCCTGTGATATTTCGAAATTTGGTAAAATTTCAGATTTTCATAATCTGAGAGGAGGAAGGACAACAATCTTCACAACATTTTTTCCCCAGTTTGGGACCATTTATAGAGCAGATCTAAAAAATTTTTCCCCCTAACTTCAATTACAGAGGGAAGTATCACGCTTTTAAATTTTAAAAAGAAAAGGAAAAGGCTTCCCTGCCATTTTCTTCTTCTCCACTCAGTTACTTCCTACAGGATTACAATGTGTATCACTAATGGGCTACTACATAACATGATTTATCAAATGTCATCTGCAGGATGAGCCAACCACAGGAATGGATCCCAAAGCACGACGCTTCCTTTGGAACTGTGCTCTGAGTGTCATCAAGGAGGGCAGATCAGTGGTGCTGACATCTCACAGGCACGTAGTGCTCATTATAGCAGTGTGTCTACTCATGTTGGTCTGCTTTGATGGGGTCTAGGTTCATTTTCAGTTAAGTTGCTATGTTTCTGCAAAGACAGATGGGTGATCTCAGTAAGTGTTTGCCTTGTCCGGGGCTAAATGTTGTTTTGTTTGCCTGCAGCATGGAAGAATGTGAAGCCCTGTGTACTCGAATGGCAATAATGGTCAATGGGCGGTTCAGGTGTCTGGGAAGCGTCCAGCATCTGAAGAACAGGTGACTGCCTTTAATTTGCTTCTGCCACAGAACTGTAAGGGGAGTAGCCTGTATTCTGTTGTGTTCTCAACTATTGGGTGAGGAATTGGTCTTTCTCCTACTGTGTTACTCTTGTTGCTTTTCCAAGTCAAAGGCCAGCCTTAGCTGAACAGCCCACTGGACACCATTTTCTATAGCCAGTGGCACACAAAGGAATGGTGTGGACAGCGGCACATCCAGCTGCTGTCTTTGACTCCCCAGCCTAAATAACCACGTGCCCATTGACAGCTGGATTGACTGAAGGCTGCTGTCACCCAAGTCCAGAGTGAGGCTCCAACTCATACCTCTGCAGCTGTTGTAACCCCCCTCTACTACTCTGCTGCCAGGCCCCCAGTTTTGTTGCTTTTCAGGCTTCAGGAGATGGCCCTGTATTTTGAGTGCCTCCTGTTCTTGGAAAGCAGCTTGCCCACCCTCCTGTGTTTCTCACTCTGCTTTCAGGTTTGGAGATGGCTACACCATCATCGTGCGGATAGCGGGAGCAAACCCCGACCTGACGCCTGTGCAGGACTTCTTCGGGCTTGCGTTCCCAGGCAGCGTTCTGAAGGAGAAGCATCGAAACATGCTTCAGTACCAGCTCCCATCCTCGCCATCCTCCCTGGCCAGGATATTCAGTGTCTTGTCTCAGAACAAGAAGAGACTCCACATAGAAGACTACTCCGTTTCTCAGACTACACTTGACCAAGTAAGTTTCCTATAGGCTGTGAGCCAAATTCTCTTCTCATTACAAGAATCCCTGAATAAACTCCCTAGAAAGGATCGGCAGTCTGTAGGGAAAGACTTCTCTAGGAAAGAGTTTTCAAAGATTCTTGGCAAAGAGGCAGCAAGAGGCTGTTCCAGGTCTTGGGGCCAGTGGGAGAGAAGGCTGAAAGGCAAGAGGAGAGACCAGAGGTTGGAAGAGAGGACACGGAGTGGGTTTGGGCTGAAAGGAGAGTTTGTTCCAAAGTACCTTTCAGACAGGTGAAGCCAACACAGTGCGTGGAGGTGACAGAGCAACTGAGAAGGTAGCCAAGTTTTTAGGCTTGAGATCCCCCACCTCAGCCTTTTTCCTTTCTAAAAAGGGAGGAGGTAGATATTGGGGGGCCCAGCCATCATGCCACTGAAGCTAAAGGAAGAACTTTTTCCCTTATTTCAATAAGAGTAGAAAAAAATCCATGGCAAACATGGATCCTGTAAAGTATCCTATACAAAGCAGAACCCAAAAGGGACCATTGGCCCTCCTTTTCTCTTGCAGGTATTTGTAAACTTTGCCAAGGACCAAAGTGACGATGACCACACAAAGGACTTGTCATTGCACAAACACCAGACTGTTGTGGATGTTGCAAAGCTAAATTCCTTTCTGCAAGATGAGAAGGTGAAAGAAAGTTGTGTGTGAGCCACTGTGTCTGCACGGACCAGACAAGCAAAAGAGAAAAGCAGCCTTCCTTTGCATGGGATAGGATATTCCCAAGGGGAAACGCAGGAGGAAAGAAACAAACTGGACACTCTACTGATAACCATTCAATGCAATGCAATTCAATGCAATGAAAACAAAAATTCCATTACAGAGGCAGTGCCTCCCAGAGTCGTTGCCTTGTTGTACTGTTCTCAAGTGAAAGACTTGAATCTTGTTTATTACAGCCTAACTCTGTGAAACTGTAGTATGGCACCCACTGGAGGCTGTGGGCTTTCAACCATACTGTTTTGTTCTTACCCATCTTTTTAATTTTTTTTACTAGGGTTGCAACCATAGCTCATTGAGGAATCATGGCCAGTGATTATTTATTGATATATTTTTGGCATGCACATTTACTCTTTCAATCCTTTTTCATGTCAGGAGTGTAAATTCCGTGGTGCTGCATCCATTGCTGGCAATGAATGCACCAAAACAGCCAGTGACCAGAAGTCACCAAACGCCCCAGTGCCATGGCCTTATTTTGTGAAAAACACATCTAATTAGCTCCTCTTTCAAGGCTTGTGTTGGTCAATCAGTGATAATCATAGGCTGCAAAGCAATACTGTACTTAGATGGTAGACGTGGATTCACTAGCCCATCCCTCGCCATCTGCTGCAGTGGATGGCAGCTCACAAAACTCCAACCTTTGCAAAAGGTAAGGGACTGTCCCACCAGCATTGTGACTAATCACCTACTTCTTACCTGGGGTTTTATGTAAACAAGTGCTTTCCCATTCCTTTTTAAGGTACTGCAGCAGCTCCATGAGCACCTGGTGGAGAGCAGTGGGTGAGAAGCAAAACTAGGGACTAGACCACAGCCACAGTCTCACTGGCTGCATATGCTGCTAGTGCCATGAGCAAATTGCCTATTGTTCTGATGTGCACTATCTGCTCTTTCATGCCTGCTTGGTATCAGAAAGGTACCCAGCATCTAAAGTTGTTATTGCTTAGCAAAAATGTGTTGCCAATTCTGGCTTTGCCAAACCAGTTAAACCAGAACCAGAAGAGATGTAGATTTTTTTTAAACAGTATTATTTATGACCGTAAATAGGTAGCAAGATTAAGGTATGAAAATGCTTCCATCTGATCTGTGTAGCCATAGTGTAGTTTGTTACATTATGCCTGCATCACTGTATTTATGCTTTGTCTCTTTTCAGTGCTAGTTTTGTTATAGATATGTAATGAGATCTGTGCAAGTTCCAGGTTTTGTGTTCTAGCAGTTACTGTGATCCCTGGGCTCAGTTACTATAAGTTCACCTCAGATTTTCCTATGTGGAGATGACATGATTACTGTTTCAGCTTCTGTAATATTCTGTAATTTTACAGAAACACAATTTCTGTGTTTTAGTTATTATCTGATCCCTAGCTCTTGTTTGTGGGGAAAAAGCACCTTTTTAAAAGTTTCCCCTGAACAGCTAGTCATTGGGATATCCATTGATATTCTGAGACTCAGACCTTCCCAGAGCAAGAATTTTTTTTTAATGGTGAGAATGGCTGACTGTCCTCTTGCTAAACAGGAGTTCTCTCTAGGGCATGAGGAACATGTTTCCAGTAATGGATTCAGCAGGCACCTTAGCCTTGCTTCAACACTTAGGCCTAGGTTCAGGAACAGATTTAACTTAAAGCACATGAGCAGTGCTACTGACTGGCCTTGTTCATGTGCCTTGTGTCCTTTGCTGAGCCTATCCTGTTAGCACATGCAGAAGTTCTGTTTTAGCTCGTTGTGCTCATCTACCAGAAGAGTAGTTCACTGGTTAGATGTTTTTCTGGAATTCCCCCAGAATCTTTTAAGACATATGAAAAGTGACAGAAACTGAAACACACTACCTAGCACCATTAGGTAATGCAATTTTTATGTATAGACCTCCACATACATTTGGGATCGTTGACAACTTCAATTTAATACATAAAATGCTAATTTCTTAGCATTATCCTCACTGTATCCTGCCCTGGCATTAAAGAAGAGCTAATCTGTGGCTCTGCCAAAGTGCCTTTTTCATACTGTATTATATTTTTAAATGTAAAATACTGTTTTAAAGGGAGAGAGGAGAGAAGTAGAAGGCATACCTCACTTCTCATAGCATACCCACAAGGACTCAGTTTGAGACTGCCCTAAAGCATCCCCACAAAGGAGCTAGGAGATTAATATACACTGCGCTTTACAGAAATAGTAGGCCCAATCCTTCACCATATGAATAAGGAACATATGCTGTATTAACACCACTGAAAACCACTATTGCAGTAGCCATTAAGTCACAATCTGACCAGGAACAACTGAAGTTATGGGTTCAGTCCAGCCATGGTGTCTTACTGGTGAGTTCAGCGGGAATTGGGGCCGAAAGGCAAGGGTGGAAGTATTTGCATTTAGGTCCATATAAATGGTTGCAGTTTCTTGCTGTACTGGTTCATATGCCACAGCAAGGGTATTTACTATGTGATTCTCTCTCTTAACCCTGCCAAAAAGGAGTCTTGGAGAACCCTACTGCTACTGTGGCATTAGCAAACTGAGGCATAACCTGGATTCTGTGACACAAAGAAGAGTTGTGCTAAATACTGAGGATAGCCAAATTGTTTGACAGCTTTTCAGTCCCTGGCAAAACCATAAATGTGGCAAGGCTTTTTTGTTCTGTTTTGATCTACGTGGCATACAGACATTGCAGTTCTCGCATGCTGCTCAGTCAGTTGCTCACTTAAGTTATTTCAGTTGTTTTTTTTCCTGCCCTTCTAGCTGGGTGTCAGTTGAAATGATCCCAAGTGCCACATATGTTATGACTGTGAACAGCTCTAAAAATAGATTACACTGAGGGCATTTTACTGATTTGAAACAATGTTACCACTTGTTGTGCTGTTAATAAATTGTTGCTTCCCTAATTGTATTTCAACTAGGACTCTACATGTTATATTTTCCCCAGGATAAAGTTGTTGGTGTTTTTGCTTCTCCTCTCCCAGGAGATAGAGTTGGTCCTTCATTCCAAGCACTTTATGCTGTCTGTAATGGGATCTATTTTTGCAGCTCCTAGTTTGCTTCCCCTGCCTGTTCAAGTCTTGATCCTGTTGTTT